CAGCAGGTCACCACAGACACTCATGACAGAGTCCCACAGCATACACAGAGGTCAGCAGGTCACCACAGACACTCGTGACAGAGTCCCACAGCGTACACAGAGGTCCCAGAAATGTGGGGTGGCTTGTTGAGTCAGTAAAGTGCTTGCAAGCATGAGGACCTGAGTTGGCTCTCCAGCACCCAGGTTAAAACCTGGAGCAGCGGTGCCTGCCTGTAATAGCAGCACAGCTAAAGAGGTAGTCCCACCCGGGACGTGCTGCCTAGGCTCCAGCTGAAATCTGAGGTTAAGGTCGATGTTGCTCCTTTCTCCAAAAATAAGATGGACAACAATTGAGGAAGACACTAGACAGATCAGTCAGTCTCTGGCCTCCACGTGATCATATACACATATGCGTGTGTAGCTGCACACATACATGCACACAGACAAATGAGCATGTCTAGATACATACACACCAAAAAGCAAACAAAGAAGGAGCACTGATATTCACGCCGTGTAAGTCTCCTTTAATCCCTGCCTTCCTTTCCTTTGTGACCCCGAGAGGTGAGAGCCTGACAGTACAGCAGGTACCAGTTGGTGGTGTGACGGGTATTAGAACCCACTTCAACCCTAGTATCCATGCAGGCTTCTTCTTAAGATTAAGGAAATGTTACTGAAAAAAGCAGTTTAGGGAGGAGTCGAAAACTCAGAGGGAAAAGTCAGTTCTGTTCTGCCCAGCACTTTGTCTTCCTCCTGATCCGCCCTCGGAGAGCATCATGGAGCACGAGTTCCTCTTCATGCCTGTTCTCCAATACTGTCCTTTGCCTGCCATTTCGGCATTATCTGGCACTATCTTCCTTAGCCAGAGGTAGCTCCTCCTGTGCACCTGCTTCTCCATGTGCTCCTATCAGCTGCAAAGCCACTTCTGTTTGTCAGAGGGAGACAGCCTTCAGCAGACAGAATAAGCCATGACTCACTCTCATCCTCCTGTCGGCTGGCTCCTTACTGCTCTTCACTTCGGGCCTATAAATAGCCTCCCTAGTATTATTCCAAAAGATGTTATGCATCCCAGAGTTGGGCTATTAATGGGCTGTTGCCCTCTGGGTCCTAAGGAAGAAAACTATTTTAGCTACAATGTTTACTGCTTAAGGTCCTTTTTCTAGCCATGGGTCTGTAAACCTGCCAGTGGAAAACAAGAACTTTACATTTGGTTAAATGACATATTAGAGAAAAAGCTATCTCCATCTAAGAATGTTATACAACGTTTGTGTAATGGAACATGCAGGGCAGGACATGTGGGTTGGTGAGAGAGTGTGTTTGCTTAGCATTCAGGAAGCCCTAGGGTTAGTCCCCAGCACTTCAGAAGTTAGACAGTCAGAAGGGCGTATCTTCTCCACTCCATACCTTTGCTATTGCTTTTATCTTTTGCCAAATCATTCTCCTCCCCTTATTTCCACGGTCCGTACTCTTTCTTTTCCCTTGGACACTAGCTATGAAGGCTTACAGATAACCAAGTGTGGTGGCACACGCCTGTGATTCCATCATTTGGGTGGCTGAGACAGGAGACTTGCAAGCTCAAGTCCAGCCTGCTCTGCTTAGTAAGACCCTGTCTCAATTAAAAGGAGAAGGAGAAGAAGAGTTTTGTTTACTTACTTCAAAATATGATTCACTTTTCTCTGTAGAGCTTTGTGATACATTGGGTTAGATGACTAGGATATTCATCCCTCTAGCCACAAAAGCAAGTCTGGAACCTACCCTTGTTCACTACCCATTCACTAGACACAAGCATTTCTGGTGCATCTGTACTTCTCTTAAGCATGGTGTGGCTGGATATGAATGCATAAGCTTATAATCCCAGCAATTGGGAGAGGAAGGAGAATCAGAACTCCCAGCACCCACACGGTGGCTCACAGCCATCTATAGCTCCAGTGCCATGGGATCTCATGCCCTCCTTTGACCATTTACAGCACCAGGAACACGTATGGTGAACAGACATACATGCAGGCAAAACACCCATAACAGAAAAATAAACAAACATTTTTGGTTTTGTTTGGTTTTTTGTTGTTTTTTTTTTCTCAAGACAGGGTGTACTGGAACTCACTCTGTAGACCAGGTTAGTCTTGAACTCACAGAGATCCACCTGCCTCTGCCTTCTAAGTGCTGGGATTAAAGGCGTGTGCCACCACCACCCAGCACAAATAAACATTTTTAAAAGTCTAAAACTTGTCTCAAAAGAAAAACAGAACAACAAAATAATGACATAGCATCTGCTAGGAATACTACCCAGGTGTGGTCCCTCCTCACACAGTGACCCTTTCTCCTGCTAGGAATACTACCCAGATGTGGTCCCTCCTCACACAGTGACCCTTTCTCCTGCTAGGAA